TTTTTATACTCGTTTGAATGTACTCGCTTATCTTGATTGATTGTCTCCCACCTTTGAGTATGTTATAGCTACAGTAAATCAATTCTCTTTCGGATGTGTCCATTTATTTTTTATTTTGGTGACGTCATCATGGTCAAAAAGAAGGCTTTTTTGGAGCCTTCTCATCTTTCTTTCTTGAAAGATGTAAACACATTGAAAATAGAGGGCGGCAGACTGTATTTCGACACTATCAGACCGATAGTTCGTTTACTGTAAAGGCAAAATTCGTGTGGCATTACCAGCCAACAGGGGTTTTAAATTAAACTTGGCAAGCTTTCAATTCATGTGCCATTACCGTCGTCAGGCACGTCGTATAAGCTATTCGTACTTGTGCGTTAAAATTTTAAAATTGTTAATATCACTTTTCAGATAATTTAAAGCACGTTTCAGGTCATTTTGAATATTCCAAAACTTTCCAAAATTGACGAGCCGTACGCTCATTTCCACGCCCACAGCACGTACTGAAGCTGGAAATTACGTTTAGGTTACATGTGTTGGGTTTCTGACATTGTATTAATACTACCGTGCGCACGGACGTTAAGACGTATGTGTACACATTCGTAAGTCCTTAAAATGCTCAATACTCTTTTTCTTTAAAATTCCTTTTAAAATGCTCAAAATTACTCTTATAAATAGAGCATGTTTTAGAATATTATACTTTTCAATCAGAACCGCGCGTGCTTCGTGAGGGTCAAAGTACGGCGGATCACCTAACTCGTCCTCAGTGACGAGTTCAAATCTAGTTGAACCTAGTTCTGACGACCACAGGCTGATAGATAGCTTCTCTGATAAGTGACTAAAGTTTATATTAATTTTGACCTAGTTTCTGAATTATACTCATATTTTTTTTAATTTCCCAGGAAACATACAGTTTTAGTAGAAAGTAATTAAGCATAAGAATGAAACAATAATTAATACCATTTTTAATATATCTATACTGTCAAGCATGAGAGATTCCACCCCTAGGACAAACATTTAAAAAGTCAGACAATCCACGAATTGCTTTGTTTGTTGCCCTTGGACAATCACTTTTTTTTTAATGAATCATGCGTATGGTTTAGCCTAGAATATACTGTAGCCTACTGTTTCTTATTGATATTTTGTAAATATTAACAAATTACTGTACATCAATAAAATGAACAAAAAAAAGATATTTTTGGGTGGAATTTATCCTTGCGTGTTTTGGTTATTGTTTACCTCAATAAGCGCATGGGAATTTGAGCGTACGTTATTCACTTTTTTTTAATACTTGATGAGACACGATACACATGGGCATTCCACCACAGACTTTTTATGAGTTATTGTAAATGTCGTGTGGTAAAGTACTATATAAATATTGAAAATTACGACTGAATTTTATCCAGATGTAATGTGGAAAATATACCTTACAGTATAGCAAATTAAACAATACAGGCTCTACTACTGTATTCTTCACTTTTTTTACTTGATGAGACACGATTTACGTGGGCATTCCACCACAGATATTTTATGGGTTATTGTAAATGTTGTGTGGTAAGTACTATATAAATATTGAAAATTACGACTGAATTTTATCCAGATGTAATGTGCGAAATAGCAAATTAATCAATACAGGCTGCCCTCTACTATATTAGTAACAATTGCATTGGTGTTGACAGTCTGTATGTATTAGAAACACTTTTATATGCAACACTTTTGTTAGTTTTAACATACAAGTGCATTAATTGAATATTAAACATTCAACACGAGCAATGTAGTGTTCTCTTGGCAAATAAAAGATAATACTGAGCCTGTGTAAATGACGTTTTATATGACGAATACATTCATGCTAGAGATCAATGGGCCCTAAGATCATTATGCAATCAAGGAGCAGCGTGACCGACAGATCAAAAAGTTGACTTTTGATAGAGACGCCTTCGTGGTCTCAAAGTTCGTCTTTGTCTCTAAGCACAACCCAGTTTCTTTTTGAGTGGTTGTCCTGGGACAAGTCCACTTTACCGGAAACCCCTCATGCCTGACAGTACTTAAATAAATACTCATTGAAGAAAATTTTACATACCTTTGATATAACAATTAACTCCAGCAAAATGTACAATGATGTAAACACGATGCTAATTAAAATCAAATCGTAACGCAGAAAGGAGAATTCTTTCCATTCCTCATCAATGGCGTTCATCAACGTCAGTACGTCACATGTCAGATTGAACGACCAATAAAAAAGGAGTAGAAACGACATGGAGGGCTTGTTCCAATATTCAACATGGTGGTAATACGAAATATACAAAATCACCGCGATAAGACTTGCACAAGCAGGAATATACAGGTACGGTTCTGTGTTGAAATTCCTGCATACCGAAACATCCGTGATAATGCCCTCGCCAACTTTAGCTAACTGCAGTAGTACCATCAGTATATTGAGGAGCCATCTTGGTATATGTCCCGGAAGTGGGATAATGTAACGATGGCTGAGCCTTTTAAGTTGTGTAAAACACGCAAGAATAAATAGAATGAGGGATACGAGAAGAATAAAGAGAACGCTTATACCGGTGGAAATCAGACCAATGAAACACGCATTATCTATTGTGTGATTTTTGTTCCACTTGAAGTGTTGTAAAGAGATGTTGTCATCTTTCCCACAAAACCAGCTGAATTCCTCAATGGCGTACATTATGAAACATTGGTTCAATGTCCAAAACTACGGACAGAAAAAAGGCCTGGAATAAAAAAAGAAAAAAAAAAACATATAAATTTTTAATAATAACATTATTTTAAAATAAATGCTACATTTTTAGACTTTTTATAATTCTAAATTTAGATTAAATTCTGAAAGTAGAGTTTCAAATTCAATAAGATTCATTTTGTTTTTCTCCTTGAGCAAGGCACTTTATCTTCATTTGTATCTCTCTCTACCAATGAATGTTTCTTTCACCACAACAAAAATTTAATTCAATCTAATTCATTGTCAAGTCGAATCCAAAATGCCATTGAGAAATTGTTTTGACTTGGATAAAATTTGACAGTCCACATTGTTAAAAATGGCAAACACAACAATCTACTGTAGTTTAATAAGCAAATTCGCAAGTTTAACTGTAGTTTCAAACCCTTCCTGCAATGTAACAAGCTACAGAACTTATAACAATTTATACTTTAATGATTTATATTATATATATTTTTTTTCTGTGCAATTTTTATTAATGCAATTATTTGTTTCAGATCTGTATTCCATTTTTGGACAATTTACTAAAAGACTGAACTAAAATTATATAATGGTATTTTATTCAAAATTCAAAATTTATAAAAAGCATAAAAAATGGCAGCCAAAAAGGCTGAATTACGAACTATATTGTTACATCAAAACAGGAAATTTTAAACATAAAGATTTACATAAAATTGTTTAGATAAAAAACAAGAGAAAACTACAGAATTATAAATAAATAATTACCATAGCAATCTTTGTTTTTTTTATAATTATTATATAATTATAAATGATTGCTTCAGTAATTATTATAATTATACTTATTATAATTATTATTATTAAATAATTTAATTTATTGCATCAAAACCATTAAATTTAAGAATTACGAATTACGCTCAACATCAAAAACATCAAAAAGCATGAAACAAATCAGATAAAATTTTATCTAACCAGCCGATAAGGGACCCATATGGTGCCCATATGCAGATCTATATGGGTACCATATGTGCAATCCTTGAGGAAACCTCCGGATTCTGCACCCAAGTTCCATGTGGGACCCATATGATTTAGCCCACATTGCCCAGATATAACCCATTTGGGGCCCACATGGAACCCACATTAATTTGTATGTGGGTGGCATATAGGTTTCCCATATGGGACCTATATTTTCTGACCCATATGGGTACCATATGTGCTATCCTTGAGGTCATGTGGGACCCATGTGGTTTAACCCATAGCCCAGGTATAACCCATTTGGGGCCCATATGGAACCTACATGCATTTTTACATGGGTGGTATATGGGTTTCCCATATGGGACCTATATTTTCCCGACCCATATGGGTAACATATGGGCTATCCTTGAGGAAACCTCCAGATTCTGCACCCAAGATCCATGTGGGGCCCATCTGATTTAGCCCATAGCCCAGATATGACCCATTTGGGGCCCATATGGAACCCACATACATTTTTACATGGGTGGTATATGGGTTTCCCATATGGGACCTATATTTTCCCCACCCATATGGGTAACATATGGGCTATATCCTTGAGGAAACCTCCAGATTCTGCACCCAAGCCCCATGTGGGGCCCATGTGGTTTAACCCATAGCCCAGGTATAACCCATTTGGGGCCCATATGGAACTTATATTTCGCAACCCATGGGTATGATTTGGACTAGCCCTTAAGGCACCCTCCGGATTCTGCACCAAGCCCCATGTGGGGCCCACATCTTTCAGAGAACCCATATGGGGCCAACATGGTACCCTTATGCATTTGTACATGGGTGGCATACGAGATTCTCACATGGTACCCATATGCAATTGCACACGGGTGGTATATGGGGCCCATTATTTTCTGACCCATATGGATGTAATATGGGTCTCCCCATATGGGGCCCCTCGTATTCTCCACCAAAGCCCCATGTGGGACAAACATGGTACCCATTGCAACTGCACATGGGTGGTATATAGGTGTCCCATATGTGAGGCCCATATTTTCTGGCTCATATGGATGGCATATTGGTTTACCCATATGGGAGCCTGTATGGATTAGCTGACATGGCCCAGAGAGAACAAATATGGAGGCTACACATTTCTGACTTGGCTTCTAACTCTGGTTTGAACATTGGCTGAGTCGATGACCATGAACTAGGTGTACATTTCAACAAATTACTCCTTGTCTGAAAATAAAACTTTTCAATTGTAGGTATAGTACAAAATATTTTCACTGCAATGATTAAACAAAAGGGTTTTTTCATTTTAACACATCAATCATTTTATTTATTTTGTAGAGAAAGCAATATTGTCAATTGCAAGTACTGTACAAATAGTGGTAAATGAAATCAAAATTTCTTAATGTCCCTTAATAACTATACAATTCAATTTCTCCAGCTCCTTGGAAAGTAAGAATATTCCATCATTTTGATCGCATTGGGAATATCACATATTTAACGTTTTTACAAATTATGAATATCCTCGAATTGATTGGGTCCATGCAAGAGTGTATCAAGAAGAATCGTCAATAGTTTCACCATGAATCATAGTAACAGAAGTACGAATGCCTTTTTCCCTCATACTTTTCACAAAGGTTATTAAGAAAGTATTCAATCGCCTCCTTTTTTTCACATCTAGTTGCAT